TTAGCATGCCAGCTTCCTGCGGGAGAGGGGGAGAGGAGAAAGCCCTGAGACTCCAGGCCAGAGAAGTGCAAACTGGACCTGGTGCAGAATCTCGTGGCTTTTTTCTCTCCCGCACCCCTGCAGGAAGCTGGTGTTGGTGCACTAATCTTGGGTGGGGGGGAGGTCAAGGCTGGAGTGTCGAGAGCTGCTGGCCCTGGCCTGAGGCGGCAGTTCCCTGCTGGGCCCTGGAGTGTCGGGACCCTTAGCGCAGCAAAGAGCTGCTGTCGCCTCCTGGCCCTCCTTCCTGCAGGGAGGCAAAATCTGTCCAGGCCAGAGTGCCAGGCGGTTTTGCTGGTCCCTGAAAAGTGTCTGGGGCAGGGAGGACGTGCAAGGATGAAAACTTCTTTATGTAGCTAGATATTGTGATCTGGCTCATCTCTTAGTTGCTGTTTCCCACCTTGTTCTCTTTAGACAAGAGCCCCAACCCATTTGTCTGGTGCTAGTTGCTAGTTCCTTATCTGTTTCCACACTAAATCTCCCAACACACCCTGTGATTCAACTGCAGAAACCCTCCTCCAAGTCCCAGAACGGCACACTCTTGGCCATCAGAACAAAGTATCCAAGAATCTGCCACCCATTTAGACTGGAAAGAGTAGGTGTTGGTTCCCTTTTTCTGGCCTCACTTAGGTTTGTATTACTCTGTTTTCACTGCCCAGGGACTATGACCGTGAACAGTTTGCTGATAACCAGATTCCACTACTGGTGATAGGAACCAAATTGGACCAGATCCCAGAGACTAAGCGCAATGAAGTTTTGACCAGAATAGCTTTCCTGGCTGAGGATTTCAATGCAGAAGAGATTAATCTGGTTAGTATTTTTGCCAGAACTTATGTTTGTATGATGTTTTTCAGGCAGACAGAACTGTTAGATTCCAGTTGTAGGAGCTAGGCTACTAGTGACTGGTCAGTTACTCTGGAGTCACTTAGTGTTGGTTGACCATACCCTTGCATGCATAGAGGAGAAATAATAGTAATAGATGTCCCATAGAAAAGAGCTGGTTGTGGGGAAGTCAGCAAGATGGTACAGAGGTTAGGGAATTGGGAGTCAGGAGTCCTGAATCCTATTCTTGGTTTTTGCCACTAACTTTCCTTCTGAGCAAATGCAGATTACACCCATTTATATTGTAACCGGGGCCTGCAGCCCCATCCACAGCCACAGAGACACAGCATAGCTCAGACTTGTTACAGGAACCAGGAGCATTCAATACAGCCCATCTTGAGGAAAGGGAGGTCCAGAGCCCTGGCCCCCCAGGTCAGCTGGGATCCTTTCTCCTCCAAGCCAGCCAAAACTAACTCACACATCTAGCAACTGCCCACAACTCTCCAGGCTGCCCTGCCCCCTCCTTTGTTCAGATTCTCAGGCAAAGTGTCATCTGACTGAATCCCCCACCTAGCTCAGGTGTCAGGCCATCCTGGGCCATTCCCTACATGCCTACCCTCAGAGCAGCACAGGAGAGTAGGAGTCACACAGAGCACAACAAAGCAAACAGTGAATGCAACAACATAGTGAATACAGTAGAATACAAGAGTGGACAAAATCCCCACTATGTCACAATATCTATACTTCTGTGTGGGCAGAATTAGTGGCTGGATGTTGTTTGAAACTAAGTCTTGGGAATGGAAATGTAGTATTGAAATTTTCAGTCTGCTTCTCAGCTTTGAAGATTGGACTTGTCTTAATGCTTTCAGATGAGCCACCAGGTCAGGATTAAGACACATCAGCCAGACCGGGAAAGCATTGCCTGCTGTATATTTTGTGAGAACAGAGGGTTTCAGTCTCCAGGGCTGTAAAACAACACTTTTCCCTAGCACACAGCTCACTTTAAAAAAAGTCTTTAAAAAGTCTGGAAAATTTTCTTTTTAAAAGACAAGTGTCAAACTCTAGTTCATGTTTACAAAGCTGAGTCAGGGCTCTACAGAAAATTCCTGGTTGAGTCAGTTCTCCCCACAAATAAATAAATCATTTTCCCAACCCTATCAGTGGCTGATCATTATCAAGAATTATTTGTCTTATATTTAGCACTGAGGATCTACTTCTCTATCATGGGCTAGAAAGCTGTTCTGGTATATTGGCTTTCCTGTGCCTCTTGGGGCTTTGAAGAAGATAACATGCAGAGTGACTTCTTTTGCCAGTAAGCGTTATTGTGGGAGGCACTCCAGTTGTACTGGTACAAACAGGGAATCTGGATTTCTTTCTCACCAGTCACATTGATGATTTCTGCATTTTAATGTGAGGAAAAATCATGAGTGTGGTCTGAGAATGATCTAGGTAAAACAAAACAAAAAAGCAGTCATGTAGCACTTTAAAGACTAACAAGATAGTTTTATTAGGTGATGAGCTTTCGTGGGGCAGACCCACTTCAGATCATATTTGGAAAAGGAATTGGCATGACCATTATGTAACAAAGGGATACAATGACAAAAGTAAACAAATTACAAACTAACAAATCAGCTTCATAGAACAGAAGGTGGGGGCGAGGTGATGGGGGAGGAGGGAAAAATTGCTTATTGTAAGAGTCAATTAAGTGGCTAAACTGGAGTTACTATGAATATTAAAAGGTTATTTCTTTTGGAAGTTGCAGCCAGTGCCATGGAAGAATCTTTCCTATAGGCTTTCTCAACGTGAAAGTCTTCAGTTTCTGCTGATTATTAGGCACCCTTGATACGTTCATAGTAATCTTACGCTGCTGCTTCTGTGAATCATTGGCTCTCAATTGTTCCTCAGTACAGCATCCACCCTAGACACATCTTTTGCATTGCTTATAGACAAATAGTTCTTGGCTTACTTAGACCACTTCAGACTGACATCAGCTATGCCCACAACCACTCATTCAATTATGTGTATTTTGACTTGTGAAGAAGCTTCAGCTGCCTAAAGGGTAGATCACAAGGAGTCCATGTTTTGTTATAGGCGTATATGCAGTCAGAGGGGCAACAGTAGTGCACTAAATCTTAACATAGTAGCTCTGTGTTAGGAATGTAAGTGACTAGGAATGGCCAACCCATTTAACAAAGAGAGCCGAAACAACTGCGGAAAAAATGCGAAGAGCTGCACCAGAATTGTTGAGTTTAAAAAAAAAACAAGCTTAGGCTTTTTGGCCATATCAAGCTCCTGTTGACGGCTGTCATCTTCAGTGCCATTTTGAATCACTGCCCCAGTGAGCACAGGGGTGGGGGGAGCTGTTTGCAGAGGGCGCAGGAGCGACTTCGCAAGCCGCACTTTTGGGGGAGAAGAGCCACAGGTTAGCCACCCCTGGACAAGTTGATTATCCGATAAGCATAAGCTTATCGGATAGTCAACTAGTGATGTAATTAGTTGTTCCTAGTCCTTTTGTCACTATCAAAGAGCGGCAGCAAGGGGGGAGCAGGACTTGGCTTTCCCCCAGCACCGTCTCCACAGGGGGAGGTAGAGACACAGCGGAAGAAACATTGCGAGCAGGGACTGAAGCAGTCTCCGCTCATGCACTTCTGCTGCGATTCTGCCTTTGAAATGCAAAAGACTCAGGCACCACAGGGATCATGGGACCTGGGGGGGAGTCTTAAAAGCCGATTCTCTTCCCCTTCTCCTCCCCCAGCACTATCTTCGTGGGGAGGTATAGGAACAGCGGGAAACGGCACGAGCAAAGACTGAGGCAGTCTCCACTTGCTGTGATTCTGCCTTTGAAATGTACAAGAGCCCCGCTCCCCGTGGGGTGTCTGCTCTTGTTACAGTTGAAAGGCAGAGGCACCCACCTAGACTAATCGAATAGTCAATGTAGATCCCATTGACTATTCGATTAATTAACTAATCTAAATTTAACATCCCTGTTCCACATGGAGGGAGGGAAGAAAGACTGTGGAGGGTACCTCTTGCTGTACTACTAACAGCTTTCCAGTTTCTGTTACTGTGCCTTTTAAAAATGTTAAGCAGCTGCTTGTTATAAACAGCTTACTTTAGATTTTGTATTTGTTGTGGGTCTTCTAAAGTTCCCTTTAACACAGAGTTTTGAGAGTGTGATGAAGCCATCTCTTTTGTATAGAACTCTGTTTAAAAGGAACTTTTTTAAAGTTTCCCAATTAGTTTTATCCTGTTCCATATGGAAGTCAGTCAGTGATTTTTTTTTTCCCCCCCTCACTTTCCATGTCCTGTTCCAAAGCCATTTGGCAGAAGTCAGGGCAGGTCTACACTTATTAGGAGTGGTGCTGTGGTGATCAATTCCTAAGGGTCAATTTAGTGGGCCTTGTAAAGATCCAGTAAATCGACTGCTGATCATGCTCTCATCGACTCCAATACTTCGCTGGAAAGAAAAGCGTAAGGGGGAGTCAGTGGGAGAGTTTCTCACGTTGAACCCCTGCAGCAGAGACTCTGCAGCAACTCCATCTAAGGTACGTCGACTACAGCTACCCTGTTCTCATAGCTGTAGTTGCATACCTTACTACATTGCCCCGTAGTATTGACCTGCCCTAAGTATGAGTTTGCCATGTTTATTTCACTGGTCTTGTCTGCATGTTTCTGGAAAGAGGGACTTACTTATTTCCTTGTACTCCCTTTGCTAGATAACTAACTGCAGCAAAATGAAATATTTCAGCTGTTTTGGCTTGGTTTTCACCCATTTATGTCCTTAAAATGACACATGTATGGGCTGTCATTGCATGTTTTTTGCATTTTACAGAAATCAAGCACCTTGAAAAATAATTTTGTTTAAGATGAAGAGTTGTGCTGTGTACCTGTTTGGTGGGGTGTGTGTTTTTTTTTTTTTTTTTTAAGGAACAGGAAAGCTCCTGAAAATAATGTTGCATAACATGGTTCCTAATTGTGAGTTGCCTTTTGTGTGTTCCAGGATTGCACCAATCCCCGCTATCTGGCTGCAGGCTCATCCAATGCTGTCAAGCTCAGCAGGTTTTTTGATAAGGTAATGCAAATTCAATTATGTCTTTTGTTTTTCTTTATGTAAATAATCCTGTCTGTTTTCTGAGAGCTAATGGCATAGTTGGGCTTCTGTTCTCACTTTCTTCTTGAGTCTGGGTTCAAATCCTGTGTGGAATTGCAAGTGAAAATGGCTTTGGATAGTTCTCAGACCTAATCTCCCTTAAGTCTGCAATACACAATCTCTACTGTCAGAGTCTTCAGTCTCATCTAAAACATGACTTAGTTAAGTTAAACTAACAAACTGATAAATTATTACTGTAAGTCATTACTGCGTTTTGTTGTCTGAGTTGTATAGGGAGTTGAGAACAGGGAAAGAATTAAATGGTGAATAGGAAATGTTCAGTAGGGAACAACAGAACTATGTCTGACTGTGGCTAGTTCCATCCCTCTAATCATCCCATCTGCATGCTTTGTTAGCCTTTAAGGTGCTGCAAGACTATTTGTTGTTTTTTAAGTTTTTCCAGTTAGACTAACTCGGAAAAGGAGCAACTGATGTTGCTCTGAAATAACCCTACTGCTGAGTAAGACGTTGTAATTGTTTTCTAGGAAAGGAATCTTGTCCCACTCTCATGCCTTTAATGCTGGATGCCCAGGATGATGTATGTTGGGGCAACACAGGGGACCTCCATCATAGACCTAGAAACACTCTTCTGCTTAGAAGACAGAGTAGAATAAATGTAACTCCTTTTTTAAACCAGTCAACTTTCTTGATGAGACTTTGCCTTAGCTGCTGGCTCATGACTTTTTGGATTTCACAGCCTCCACTTGGGTCTCCTGTGACTTTTCCTGAGCTATAATGTTCATCTGTCTTTTTCCACATTCATTTACTATGCAATTTATGCCTTGAGACTTGAAGCTATTTCTGGGATCGTAATTCTGTAATCTCTAGTTGGAAGAGGAGATGGGTTAGCAATTCTTCAGCCTTGGAGATTTCCTGAGAACAGTTACTCTACGTGAAACATTGACCATGGTATCTGCTTAGAACATTGAAATTTGAATAAAATGTAAAGTGTTGTAGTGCACTAGCAAATTTCCATTGTCTATCATTTAACGGGCTAGTAGGTTTACAGTGCACTTTACTAGCACTTAAGTGAGTGCCAAATGCAGGTGCCCAACACTGCTATTCCTGGTTAAAACAAATCTGGAAGAAAAAAATAGAGTCCTTTATTTCTCACCCCTCTTCCCCTGAGAAACATCAGGGTGACTATGAAAACAGCCAAACTGGAAGTGGGAATGCTTTGGTGAAGCCATGTAGTGCTCCCAGGGGACGGGATGGAGAAGGCAATGCAGGCTCAGGAGATCCCCTTTCTTGTACAAATCATTATTTGGCCTGGATTTTTCGAGGGAGAACAGAGAGCAATATGAGCTGCTCCTTCTTGCCCGTGTAGTGAGGACACTGCTTCCACAGCATCGCCCAACCTAGGCAGTCTGGAGTCAGGATTGTCATTTGAGAATAAAGTATCCCGATTGTTGATGTTTTTCAATCTTGTTTAAAGTGTTAATCATGTTATATGTACATGCCACACCTGCTAAGTTCTCTCTTTGATTGCTTCCCCCCAGGTCATAGAGAAGAGATACTTGTTACGAGACAATAATCAGGTTAGTGATTCCTTCCTCTTCTCCTCCTCCTCCTCCTCTCTTCTCCAGCCCCCTCCCCTCCCTCCCCCCCGGGGCTTTTTTTGTTAGTTTTGGTACACTGCTACCTGTGGGTTTTGTTGGCTGACAAGGCCCTGATCTTTAAAAGGTCACCCAGAATAGGAGATATTGGCTCAACCTAACTACCAATAATCACTAGCATTTATTAGTTTTGCTGCAGCACAGCTGTTGGATACATGGAAAAGATGCTTATCGGGTACTAGTTAACCGTTACCCAAGAGCAGTCCGTGGCCTGCCACAGGCAGAGGGCTGCTCCAGCCCTGTGTGGGGGTGGGGGTCAGGTGCTGTCCCCTCACGCTTGGGGTTGCCAGCCTCCCAGCACAGGGAGGGGAGTAGGACAGCAGCCCCAAGTGTGGGGGCAGGGGTGCTGTGAACAGGATCCTACTTAACTGGTTAAAGCAAAGGTTTAACCAATCAACTGATGAACTGGGATTTTACATCCCTAGTGCCAGTTTTTACATGCGCCACCCGCAGTCTGGATGTTTTGGCTATAAAATAAGCAGTGAAATAACTAATAATATTGCCATCACGGGGAATCAGATGAAATTGAGAGGAAAAGAAGCTGAATTAGTATCTCTGAGTAGTTGTCAAGCTTGTGTATTCAGAATCACACAGCACCATTTTGAATCACAATCAAAATTTTATTTATAACCAGGGCTAGTCATGTACATTTTAAATTATAATTTCTGCTGAAGTTGGTGTAACTATCAGAGAAGTACAGGATGATAGCAACTTAATTGGACTTTGAATGCTTAACTAATTTGATTAATTGAAGTATTGGAAGTATTAACTAGAAACTGGGACTTGGGCTCTCCCACCTAGGACAAGTCACTTCAATCCTCTGTGTCACCCCTCTGTGTTACACTGTGTTCCCATCTGTAAAATGAGGGGAGTAAGAATACAGAACTTTATACAGAACTTTCTATCAGATCTCAAAGCACTTTACAAGGATGGACAGTATAGTTATCTCCATTTTATAGATGGGGAAATCAAAGCACCTAAGAATGACTTGTCACTTAGTAGGCTAGTGACTGAGCAGGGAATATAATTTAGGACTGATCTATCTCAAGAGAAGTGTAGTAAGGCTTAATTAATTCACATTAGTGACGTAGTTGCATATTATAGGAACACATAGAAAAACTTGCACATTAAAAACCTGTTGCTGTGCTGTGCTTTGTCCCCGATAGCTGTTTTGGCAAAAGTTTGATTGATAGCCCCAGTGTAGTACTGCCTTTGAATTCTAGTACAGGCAGTCCCTGGGTTACATGGATCCGACTTACATCAGATCCCTACTTACAAACGGGGTGAGGCAACCCCGCACTAGCTGCTTTCCCCCAGCAGACCAGGGAGACGCGAAGCTAGTGCCCCCCCTCCAGCAGACCAGGGAGACGTGGAGTGGCTTTTCTCAGCAGACACCTCAGCTTGAGAATAAAGGACTGAGGGAAGTGAGGTGTGGGAGAATAAAACTGAGCTCTGGAGAAATGTTTGGCTAGAGTTTCCCCTACAATATGTACCAGTTCCGACTTACATACAAATTCAACTTAAGAACAAACCTACAGTCCCTATCTTGTACGTAACCCGGGGACTGCCTGTACTCACATTTTCCTTCTGTGGCATACCATTGCAATTTCAATTGGCTGTGCTATCAACTGTTGTCTAGTTTCACCCCAGATCTGACTGCATTATAGTGACGGCTAAGTGATCCCTGTGAATCCACTTTGTCTATCGCTGTAAGTTTGTGAAGTACTTTGAGTTGAAAGCCCCCAAGTCTTGCACTTCTCCGGTGAACTGATATTTTTGCCAAGATCTGTGGCTTTCTTATCTACATTTGAATGCTTCATTGGCACAGCTGCACTATTAAATACTGTATGTGTGACAGTGACGCTTCAGTATAGATCTTACCTGTGTCAACAGGAGAGGTTCTCTCATTGGCATAGGTAGTCCATCTTCCCAAGAAGCAGTAACTAGGTCAATGGGACAGCTCTCCTGTGAGCTTAGCACTGTCTGCATTAGGGCTAGATTGCTTTAACTGCATCTCTCTGGTAGGGATGTCAATGTGTAGTCAACTACATGATTAACCAGCCGGGGTTTATCGGCTGGCTAATCTTGGATTACATGCACACACCCCTCTTGCTGCCTCTATATCAGAGGCAGCAAGGTGGGGAGTAGGAGCTGGTCCTTGGGCTTTAAGCTAGCTAACCACAAGCACTGGGTCCTCCTGCCCCTCACCCCCGTAGTCGACTATCTGATAAGCAAATGCTTATTGGACAGTCAACATAGTAGTAAACTAGTCGTTGTCCGACTCTCTTCCCCCCCCCCTCCCATTGCTGTCTCTGATAGAGACAGCGAGGGAGGGAGAGAGGAAGGGGCGCTTCAAAGCGGCTCCCCGCAGCATCAGTTCCGTGATTCCACCGCCTCCTCCCTCTACTCCCTGCTATTTCCTCTAATAGAGCCAGTAGCAGGGGGTGGGGCAGGGGAGATTGTCACAAAGTAGCCTCTCTTTGCAAAAAGCCTGGGGCCCACCACAGACAGAGGCTGGTCTGCAGCAGCAGTCCCTGTTGGAGAGAGGTAGCTCTGCATCCCACGGAGTCACCTCTCTCCATGGGGAGCTCAGATTGCCCATGGACAGGGGCTGCTGCTGCGGGGAGCCCGAGGACAAGGGCTGCTAGCACCCTGTCCGGCTGCCTCTATCGGAGACAGCAGCATGGGGCAGCAGGCACCCAGTCTGCATGCGGAGCTGGTTTTTAAACTAGCTCTCTTTACAGACTGGCTCCTGCCTGCTACCCTGCATGGTAGTGCAAGGTGGCAGTGGTCTTCCTGGTAGTGGGGGCCGGGAGTGCACTGGCTGCTGGCCCCACCCCTGGGGACTATCAGATAGACATGTAACCGCAAATATTTCATGCGGTTACACAACTGTTCATTTACATGATACGTAACATGCCTACCCTTAGGGGTATAGATTTCTCACACTTCAGAATGGCATAATTATACCAAACGAATTTTCTAATGTAGACCAGGCTTCAGTCTACCATTGTAGGATAACTCCCACAGGCTGTTTTTATTGTGAAGTCTAAAGTACTTTCCCTTCCTCCATGTTTTCAGATATACTGCTTTTGATTAAGATACTTTATATTTTGATATTGCTTTTGTACAGTAGATTGATTATCTGGGTTGCTGTCACAGTGTAAGAAAGGCTATATGTCCTGTTGGGCGAGCACCTCAGCTCTGCCTATGTGTAGACAGAGGGATGAGATGACTCCCAAACCATAATCTTGCTGACAGCTGCAGGAGATGCTGCCACGAGAGCAGTAGTATAGTATAGGATGAAAGAATCATGGATCCTCTTTCCGTTGGGAAATTGTGTGTTTGTATGCCCTCTGCAGTGTAAATCTACATGAAATCCCATTAAGCAAGGACATTTCTGGTAGTTTTGAATAGACTTTCTTTGTAAGCGCTGATTCTCACAGTATAAGCGCTATCTAGACATACACAGCAGAAATGTGAGTGCTGATACCTTACTGCAGCTTTCTTCGTTCTGATGGATTTCGCCAAACTTCACACCTTGATATGTAAAGACTGTTATCTTAATTACTGCTAAACTGCAGCCATCTCTGGAGTAGAACACAGCACCTGTTTAGTAGAGCACAGTAACTGTATATAATAGTTTAGAAAAGGAAAAAGGCTGCTGTATATAATTGAAATTGCAGAGAGATTTAGAGAGGAACAATGTAGTAAACCAACTTGGAATTTGGCCAGGACGGTACTCCTGAGACTGCAATTCTTTCATAAAGCTCCAGAAGCCCTGTAGGCCAGTGGACAGTGTTAGAGAAGAAACAGGCAACTCAAGAGCAGATGGGGTAAACAGAACAGCTCTATTGCCCACGCACGTTTACCTCAGATATATAGCACAACGTTCCGAGTGGCAACAATTTGGCAACAATTATACCCTTTTATCTATTTTAGTATATTAATTCACATGTCTATCATTACTTTCCATAAAACCTTATTTAGGATGTTAACTCCCATAAAATGAATATTAACAAGCAGGTGATGAATATTATTATTATCCTCCCCTAATTGACTATTTACAGAATTTCTAATTAAATCAACACCTTTCTACACTACAAACTTTTCAAATCATCAGGTTACAGAGATTACAAGAAAAGTAACTCTGAAAATATTTTTTACAGAGTCAGTGAGAGTAAGTAAAAGACACAACAAAGAAGAGAAGCTGCATGCTTGTCTATCTTCCTAGGCTGCAAGAACAAAGAGAGAGCATATTTATACATCAGAAAGGATAATACCTGCTTTAGCCAGATTCTTAATCTATCTTTCCAGACTGAAGAAACAAAGGGGGGGAAAAAAACATGTTTAAAGGGCAATGCCTATTTTAGCTAGACCCCTGATGTGAGTCATCCCAGACCCTTATTAATTTTTATATATCCCAATAGACAGGACCTCACTTTTACATTGAATTCAAAAGATGGTACTACGTAGGCGCATGCTGCAGTACTTGGTATTCCTAATTCAGAAGGAAGAGTGGGATGGAAAGGAAGTAATGTTGTCAACTTGATAATATGCTGGCTCTGACATGGTGATTTATCTTCCATATTTACAGATTCCTGGCTTTTCTGATAGAAAAAGATTTGGAGGTGGTACATTGAAGAGCCTTCATTATGATTGAACACTGCTCACTGTCCAGAGATTGAATGGAATATGAGTTCTCTCCATTTACAGCAACTTATTCCTTTCCCTGTTGGACTCCTTGAAAGCTACCATTCTCTTGCCAGGCAAAATAAATTTTATTAATTGCTTTGGCCAATAGGACTGTGGAAGATATCAGTGCTGATGAAGGCACAGGGAAGAATCCCCAAATCTGTTCTGAAATCCAGGCTTCCTCCTCAGCTTAGGAACCTTGTGGAAATACGGGATCTTTTTGAATTGGTGCAATAAATTCAGTGTTTTCCACACTGCTGTGGGAAACATTTTCATGCACAGCATGCATGTGTACCTCTTTTTCCCCACAGCTTGGAAAATTTATGAACATTTGTTTTTTCAATGCATTATAGTAATTTTAGTTCTAGCTGAAAAGGAGCACCGAATAGGCTTCTCATTTACATTAACATAAAGCAAAACAAGCAAGCAAAATATAAGACATATTTTATACAAAAAATACAAGAAATAGAATGGAAAACATTAGAAATCCATCATATAAATCAGTAGTACAGCCTCAGCTGGAACACTCAGGTTTACATCACCCCATCTCAAAAGGGACATAACAGAAGTTGTTCCAAGACAGGTGCTCAAAATGATTAAAAGCCTGAAAAAAAATTCCCTATGGAGATTGGTATTGCCCTTTAGTTTGGTATTTGCAGTTTAGAGAGGACAGAGAAAGTAGACCAGGTATTCCTATTTATTTTTCTCATAATACCAGAACATGGGGTTATTTAATGACTAGGGATGTTAGGTAGTGTTTAATTAGCTAATCAAATAGTCCTTGGAATTTCCATCGACTACTTCATTAGTCAATAAAAAGGGGCATGTGCTACCCCTGCTGTGGCTCTGCAGTTAAATAAAGGAGTCTGACTACACTTAAATTGCAGAGCTGCAACAGGGCTAGCTCCCGGGGGAGCAGTTCTGGGACCACCGCTGTGCCTATGCCTTTTAAATGTAGTAAGAGCCACCTAGCTGCATAGTTAGAATAGAGTGGGTAGAAATTTTTAAGTGACACAAAAATTCATCTGCTTCAGGGTTCCTAACCATGATGTTTTGGAGGTTAGAAAGAAAATTATGGGAAAACCAGAGGCCTTTCCTCTCTCCTCCCGATCTTCCCAGCCAGCTGTCTGGGGCTTTCTGTCCCCCTCCAGTGCTATGGCCAAGGGCTGGGGGGCAAAGGTTTTGGGACAGGGAAACTACTTAGCCTATCTGATAGCAGGCAAGATGGCAAGTCCCAGCTCTTCTGGACATTCTCTTGGTGGTGCCCTAGTGGTCTCTCTGCAGTATAGCTCTCTCCTTTGGGCTTGGTGACCCCAGTGGCCACTCTCAGTATTGTGTCCCTCCTCTCTCTGCCCCTTTTTTCCGTGTTATAGAAGTCTCATTTCAGGCACTTCTTATTTCCTTGGCATAACCAAATCCTGATCTTGCTTTAAGTTATGATAAGAGGAAGCTGCCTTCCAAATTTGGTGGTCCTAGCTCTTAATGTTGAGGAGCAGTTCTTGAACAAACAGAATCACAGACAACCAGACAGATGCATATTTCTAAACTGTGTAAATCGATAATTCTTCTGAAGCACTGGTTTTAGCCATTGCTGGAGATAAAACACTAGAAGTGTTGAGGTTATTAAATGAGTATCCCAAAGTTCAAGTACTAACAGCTTTTCTTTCTCACAGTAACTTATAATGCTTTAGTCTGGGCCAGAGGCTAAGAGCCAGTGTTAAATATAAATATAAATTAATAATAAAAGGAGGGTAAAAGAAAGTAAAACATTGGTGTGAAATTGACTGTATGCTGTTCCACAAACTCCACATTGCATCTGCGTGTGGCTCTTCTCTGGCTGTTTGCTGGGAGTAATGGAGTGCTGCCTATAGTTATTTAGAAGGCAGGAATGACGTAGAGATAATCAGACCTAACTTACTAAATGTAAAAATATTTACATTTCTCTCTAGCATCTTTCACCAAAGAGATTCAAGAACACTTTACAAACCTGAATGAACTAAGGCACCAAGTGTCTGGATGAGGTATGGTGAGAATCAGTATTCATATTTTACAGCCAGAGAAACAGGTACCAAGATATTCAGTCTAAAGTCTTCAACATTTTGCAGTTTGAGGTGTCCTGTTAGAGACAGCTGCAGAGTGTCATCTTTGAAGATGAGAATCTGGCTTTCTAAAGGTCACACTATATGGTCAGGAATAGATTCCGGGGATCCTGTTTTACAGACTTCAGCCTTTAGCCACGAGACTGTTGTCTTCTAAAATAAATAATTAAAGTATCTGAGTTGTGGTATGTCCAGTAAAACCGTAGGCCTAATTATGAACAGAGAACACAATAGATTCCAAATTTAGTCTCTTAGGCTACATCTAGACTGCAGCTTCTTTTAGAAGAAGCTTTCTTCTGGAAAACTTCAGAAAGACCGTGTCCACACTGGCTAAGCAGATCGAAAAAACAATCTGCTTTTTTGAAAGAGAGCATCCAGACTGACTGGACACTCTCTGCATAAAAGGCCACCTGGAACCACTTCAGGCAGGGCTTTAAGTCAACAGTTGCTTCCAGGTGCTGGTGCCCACCCCCCCGGCCAGCCGTTTCTCTGCTTCTGCTGCATGCTTGCCTACCTCTTTGAGGGACAGCAAAGCTCTCACAGTGCCTGCTGTGGTTGCCCACCTTTTTTGGACGTCACAGCTTTTTCCTGTGTGCCATGGAACTGGAGCTGCTCCTGAGCACGCAGTGGCCCCACATGGCCATGCTGCATTTTTTGCAGCACTTTGTGCTGGCTGCTTTCCTGGTCCTGACCGAGCTCAATCCCAAGCTCATTCTCTGGACCCTTTCCCTGGGTGCAGGAGCAACATCCTTGCAATCCACTATGGAGAACTGTTCCTGGAGCCTGGACACCAGTTCCTACTGGTGGGACCGGCTTTTTTTTGGGGGGGGGGGGGGAAGAGTCCTGGAAGAGGGGCACCCTTGGGAAAGGGAGGTTGGGGGTGGGGGGAAGCCCCATCCCCAGGGGGTTGTGCCATCCCACCCTCCCACATCCCTGCTGTTGGGGGGGGGGGGGGAAGAGTCCTGGAAGAGGGGCACCCTTGGGAAAGGGAGGTTGGGGGTGGGGGGAAGCCCCATCCCCAGGGGGTTGTGCCATCCCACCCTCCCACATCCCTGCTGTTGGGGGGGGGGGGGGAAGAGTCCTGGAAGAGGGGCACCCTTGGGAAAGGGAGGTTGGGGGTGGGGGGAAGCCCCATCCCCAGGGGGTTGTGCCATCCCACCCTCCCACATCCCTGCTGTTGGGGGGGGGGGGGGAAGAGTCCTGGAAGAGGGGCACCCTTGGGAAAGGGAGGTTGGGGGTGGGGGGAAGCCCCATCCCCAGGGGGTTGTGCCATCCCACCCTCCCACATCCCTGCTGTTGGGGGGGGGGGGGGAGATGGCCTCATAGGGGTGGCTCTTCTGGTGTTGGGGGGGGGAGAAGGGCTTGTGGGGAGGGGTGGGTCCCTCCCAAAGGCTCAGGCACTCCTTCTCCATTCGTGTGTGTGTGTTTTTCCTTCTTCAGGTTATGAGCACCATCAATTCCATCCTCATCCACCTGGGAGACCTGGACCCGATTGTGGCTGGATTTGCTGTCCTGGGTTTCCCGAACTGTGGGGGAGCAATTGATGGGACCCACATCCCGATCCACGCACCTCAACATAGAGCAGCCCAGTACATCAACCGCAAGGGCTACTTCTCGATGGTGCTGCAGGCCCTCGTTGACCATCGTGGACAGTTCATGGACATTTATGTTGTGGTTGGGCAGGGCATGCGATGCCTGGATTTTTTGCAGCTCGAGCCTCTACTGCAAGCTGGAGGCAGGCACATTCTTCCCCCACCGGAACTTTGCAGTTGGGGATGTGCAGATACCATTGTGCATCGTGGGGGATATGGTCTACCCTCTGATGCCATGGCTCATGAAGCCATATACCGGCCACCTGGATCCCAGCAGGGACCAATTTAATGCCCACCTGAACCGGGCCAGGATCCAGGTAGAGTGCGCCTTTGGCCACTTCAAGGCACAGTTCACTGACTTCTCAATAGAGACACCTGTTTGGTTTTAAACAAAATGAACTGTGTATTGATCATTCAATAAAAAAAGCTGGGGAGGGCAAAGGGGGGGGTCTCTTAACTTGGATGGGGAGGGGGCTCGGAGTGGCATGGGGGCTGGCTGGATGTGCCGCCTTGGGTGAGGGGACCTCATAGGACTTGGGGTTGGGTGGGTCCTGGGACCACAGGATGGGGGGCTGGAGCAAGGTCAGGGATGGCAGGGAGAGGAGGCATGGGCATTGCTAGGGGGACAGGGGAGAGGGAATAGGCATAGCAGGGGGGCAGAAGCAGCGACAAGTGGCATGGGGGCTGGCTGGATGTGCCGCCTTGGGTGAGGGGACCTCATAGGACTTGGGGTTGGGTGGGTCCTGGGACCACAGGATGGGGGGCTGGAGCAAGGTCAGGGATGGCAGGGAGAGGAGGCATGGGCATTGCTAGGGGGACAGGGGAGAGGGAATAGGCATAGCAGGGGGGCAGAAGCAGCGACAGCTATCGCACCGCTGCATGAGCTGGTCCCAAGTATAGTTCCAGCACTCCGCGTCCTACCGGATATTCTGCGCCAGGGTCTGCTGCATGTCACGCAGGATGCTGACATACTGCCGCATGAGGTCTTCCTGGTCCCTGGCACGCTTTCAGATCCCCTGGGCTCTGGCGATTGGCTCAGGTGGTGTGGTTCGCCCCTCAGTCCCAACTGGTCCAGCTGTGGAGAACACAAAGAGGAAGAGGTGATCAGTCATCCATGCAGACACGTCCCTGAGGCCATGCCCTCCTCTTTGAGCAGCAACCAACTGTCCTTGGAGCAGAGGAGGGGGATGTTCTGGGAGCAAGGCCATGTGTGGGCTGCTCAGCAGGCCTTGTCTCACAGGGGCCCCGAGGTGGCCAGGGAACCATGCTGCCTGCTTTCTGTCCCCGGGACCAGACGTATGGGGCGGGGGCCTTCCCTGAGCCTTGGAGCAGATCCAAGCCGTGCTCAGGGGCTGCCTGCTGAGTCCACGTGGCGCACACTTAACTCTGCATGTGGTTCCATATGCATGGACTGCAGCACGATGTCCAGGCCAAGCGACACTCGCACCCTGCCCTGTGTGTGTGTCAAACAGAGCACTCACCTGAAGATTGCTCCCCAGCATCAGAGGAGACCTGGGAGACATCCATGCTCACAGGAATTGGCTCCAACAAGAGCATGATGGTGGCTGCATCATCTGCTTCCTTCTCCTGCTG